GTCCGGGAGATCGCATACAAGCGTGCATAAGAGGAAAATTAGTATCCAAGTTTCAAAAATATTTTGAGGAAGGAGAATGTCGCATCCTCATGAATTTTAAGCTCTCTCCTAACGGGGGAATCTTCAGAGCAACTGCACATCCCTTCAAAATATTTTTCACTTGATCAACATATGTGAAGAATTGCGAGCAGATTCCAAACCACTCACTTCGTTTCAATTTCATCCCTTTTGAAGAATTGTTCTCTCGGTCACATGACGAAACAGTTTTCCTTGGTATGTCATATCACCATCTTTTATTCAAAGTTAAACATTCGATTCATATTCTTATTAATTAATTTTACTTCTTATATAGATGTTATTGGTGAAATCATCGAAGTGCATGGTTTAAAGGAAATAAATGTTTGTAACGCTCCATGTAAATTGTTGAATCTTCAACTAAAAAGCCTCAAGTAAGTAGCTTTCAGCTTAGTGTCCATAAATAAATAAATTGATATGTTATATATTTTTTTCTTAAACGTTTTTTTGTTTTGCAGTGGTTGAACAATTGATTGTGTTTTTTGGGAAAAGAACGTTGAAGACATACATGCGTATGTTCAATCCTTTTCTGGACCTATTGTTATGTTTTGTAGCCTCATGAGGATTAATATTTATAATGGTAGGTTTAACAAAATTAAATCCCATATAATCTATTTACTAATCATCCATATTGACATTTGTTTCTTTCACTTTTTATAGGGAAAATGACTATCCAAAGTGCAAACTCACCGACAAAGCTCTTCATAAATTATGATATTCGTGAGATAAATGAATTCAAAGAAAAGTAACTAAACATGCTTGCAATTTGTCTGTATCCTATAGATTTTTTATTTTTTTCTTATACTTTATTTCATCTCATTATTTGTGTATATATAATAGGATGCCAAAAGATGTCATCTCCACTTCACCCAGTAGCTCCACATTGACTTTGTCAAATTCTGAGCCAGATCACTATTCATTGGATTCTCGTAGAACTATTTTTCAGCTGCTTACATCAGATGAGGTTAGTTGTTTATTTTAACTTACTCAATTATCTCTTATACTAACTACAAATCCAACTATTTTTATTTCTATCATGAATGTCCTCAGGAACTAACGTGTTCTATATATGCAACAATTTGTGCACTTAAAATTGAGATTTCTTGGTTCTACATCGGATGTACAAAATGTTTCAAAAAAGTGAACCAGTAATTAAATCCGGAAACTGAAGAAATTGAGGCTGATAAATTTATATGTGACACCTGCCAGAAAATTGTTACTTCTACTATCTCAAGGTTTAACATGAATCTTTATACATCATTTATCTATTTTCTATACATATTTTACCATTACAAGTCTAATAAATTATAGTTTATTTTCATAGATACCAAGTTCATGTAAAAGCGAAGAATGAAACAGGAACCACTTCTTTCCTTCTGTTTGACAAGGAAGTCATTCAACTTATTAACAAATCAGCGTATGAGTTGCTGGAGCAACAAGTTCAGGTAAAATTCATACATCATATTCATCTTAATATCATGTTTTTATTATTTTCCTCCAAACTATGGCAGTTCAACCGTATGAGTGAACTCCCTCCAGAACTTCAAGCTTTAGAGAATCGTCAGTTTGTTTTTACCGTCTACAAACCTTCTACAACAAAAAATTTCAGACCAACAACCTTTAAAGTTGTTAAAATCACTGATGACCCTGCAAAACTTTCAATGTTTCGCGGTGATGATGTCAACACGGTATGTATATTATAAAATGTCCCTTCACTATCTTACACGTTTAATTTTATTTGGTTTTAATGATTTTACCAAATTTCCATATAGGCTGATATTGCTGCGATTGGTCCTAATTTCTCAAACTTCACATAACTCACTACCAACCTGGTATGACGCTCTTCTTCTTTAAACTTCACGTTTGTAATTTCTAATCACAAATACTATTTATGCTATAGTTTACAAGTAATTCAAGATATGAAAAAGTTACAGTTTATCATTAGATAAATTTACAATGTTTTTCTGTTATTTTTGGGATAAATTTATAACATATTCCATTATTTGGTTACGTTCATTTGTTGATCAGATTGATGGTGTCTCTTTCGAAGGGTCTAGCAACATTCGATAAGCGGTTCGACGGAGTATCCACAGACTCCAAACAAAAAGCGAACAATTACTTCTGCAGAAACGTCATCACAAACTGAGGACAGACAGTGGTGTACAAGTTTCATGAAAAAAGCACAAACCAAAGCTAACTGATTTAACTGCAGAAGAAGCTGACAACTTTCAATTTCAAAGCCAAAACAGAAAGCTGAGCCTACAACTAAAGATGCTGGTACAAAAGTTTCATCAACAAAGCAGAAAGTGCCGGCAAATCTGATTCCAAAGAAGGAAAAAGAGTGATGCTTAATAAGCTGTGGTTTTTAATTGTTTAGCAAGTATCACATAACTTCTATATTTTTTTTCCTGTGTGCAAAATGTTAACTTCTATTTATTTCCATGTTTTATTAGGACTTGCTGTTTTGTAGGATTTCAATTTCGTATACG